TTCTCAGATTTCCCCTTTTATCACTGTCTGACTAACATTATGCGCTGTCATTTCATAAGTTCCGGTATTTAATACACTCTTGAATGGAAACATATTTTACAAACAGGCTTTACAACTGGATCCAGGGGAAGGAAATACTTTTAGCACCCGCACCTTTCATCCCCCTGGGCATCTGACCCTCATCATGGCTAGTATCTGAGCAAGCGCAGCTGCTGCCAACACACCTTGAGACAGGGACGAGGCACAGGCTGTCCAACAGGAGGGGAAGAGAGGGCTCTGAGTTGGATGACAACTGGAAATGTGCCACACTGCACTGCCAGCTCTCGGATCCTGCTGTGCTATTTTCTGAAACCTTGGTTTCTTCAGCAGTAAAGTGGCTATGGCACCCCATCAAAATTCATCTCAAACAGCACCAGTCTGTGCACCAAGATCCATGGAAAGGTGCTGGCTAATATTCTTACTCCGTAAGCACTTGAGCATCGCCTGTTTGGGAGAAGTCCTGGGAGTGGGTTTGTGTTAAGAGAGCTTGTGCAGGTTCACATGTGGGTCAGGTCCGGTTAGACAGAGCACCCCCCTTCCTGTCAGACCTCCCTGACATCCGCACTCCATTCCTCATCTGTCTCATCTTTCTTCCCAGAGTTGCCCCTCTTTCCATCCCTCCTTCCTCTTTCTTTTGGAGGGCCCTGTCGGTAGCCCTCGCATCCCCACTGTGTCAGGCAATCCTTCTCACCCAGTGTCAACACTCCCCGGGCTCCTGGGATGCATGAGGGGGAATGGTCCTTGTTTCTATAAACCCACTCACGGCATTTATCTCTGTCCCATTTCCCAGGCCTCTCTTCCAATCCTCACTGGCTCCATAAAAATATCTCATCATCTCTGAAACTCACGTGTGAATATGGTCTGTCCATACCACTCATATCTGAGATCACCTGGTCTGAAGCTTGTAGAATGGCTGATTCTCAATCTGAATTTTAAAGACACTGAGTGCCCCACCTGGGTCCTTAGGGGCTTTCCTCAGTATGGTGGGCTTCCAGATTTCTAGGAGATATCTCTTTTCTCCTATGCCATTCAGCACCTTCTTCCCTGTTTCTTGCCCCCCACCCCGTCATAATCTGAAAACAAACGAAAGCTGGATTTGGCTTGGAAAAAAAAGAGTAGTCCAGAATCCTGAACCATAACAACTTCCTCAGTTCAAGGAATAAAATTGAGTGTGGTTCTCAGCATCAGGATCATGGAAATTTATTAGCTTTGCAGAGATTTCAACCATTTGATAAACAGAAGTCAGTAGAAGCAAAGACTTAAATACAAAGGCCAAGACCTTCCCTGTTTTCTTAGGAATGTTTTTCTTATATTGGCTTTATGCATTTAATGTGAATATGTTTCTAGAAGCTACTGCCTGCTTTTAAGATTGGGAGAAAATTATCCCCAGATGAATGACTGAAGATGTGGCTAAGTGGCAGAGAAGACCCTTGGTTCAATTCCTGGCATAAGTTACTCCACTCAGCTTCCCAACCCCAGCACTGCTGCCCAAAGCAGTGACCCCAGGCCCCAGAGCATCAGCAAATGCTCACACACACACACACACACACACACACACACACACACACACACACACATACACAAAAAAATTAGGGGCTGGGGACATAGCTTAAAGGATAGTAGCTTGAACCTTGCATGAACTAGACCCAAATATATCTCAGGCATGCTTGTATCCCACCTACCAGATGATTCGCCTTTCCTCATCACCCCCAGCACAGGTCAGGGTGGCACAGACAGGCCTCATAATACCAGGAATAGCCTCTGAGCCTCTTGGATCAAAACAAGACTCCTAGGGGCTGGAGCGATAGCACAGTGGGTAGGGCGTTTGACTTGCATGTGGCTGACCCAGGTTCGATTCCGAGCATCCCATATAGTCCCCTGGGCACCGCCAGGAGCAATTCCTGCTTTGAAGCCAAGATAACCCCTGTGTATCACCGGGTGTGACCCAAAAAGCAAAAACAAACAAACAAACAAACAGGACCCCCAAACTAATAACCTAACTACCAGAAACCTGGCCCTAATGAAAACCACTGTTCTGTACTCACACATGCCCCTCCTGGAACAGCTGCCAGGCCCAGACTCGTGGCGCCAACATCCTGTAGGAGGACAAGAATCCAGAGGCCGTGGACTTTGCTTTGGTCACCAATAGGGCTGAGCAAATGGTACTTAGTAAGGACATGACATGATGAACTCTGTCCAGCTGCACAGCTGCTGCAGAAAAGAAATCGTCCCCTAAGTTCTGAGAGGGTACTTGCAGCAGAAGAGGTGGCTCAGGGCTGAATTTTCATGTAAGAGCCCCAGGTAAAAAATCTGGTACAGCAATGCCCCCCATCCCCACCCCAAGCACTACCCTGAGATACCCCTCCTATCAAAAAATGATTGCAACTGGGGCTGTTGAGAGTTGGGGGTTGGGGAGGTTGAGGTCTGTTGCAAATATGTGAATGAAGGCTAGCCCAAAGACAGGAAACTCGTGTGTGACTATGCATTAAGGGGTCCTTACCTGGGCCACTGTCCTGATGTGTGCAGTGTCCAGCACAGGAGATGGGAAGATGCCTCGTGGCTCATTCATCCTAGATAACGAGCATTTCCAGGCAGCAAGAAATATCCTGACTCATGGCCCCATGAGCCTCTGCAGCAGAGACTCGAGTCCTTTTCATGGGTGAGTCTGAACTACTTCACTACTCCAGCAGGTTCACCCGCCCCAGGTTTGTCAAGTACAAACCTCACTTTCTGAGGTCACGCTTTAGGGCTCTGACTCAGTCATGTGTCAGGCACAGCGACACAAGGAAGGAAACGTCTGAAGCTTGTTGCAAATACAGACACTCAGGTCTCTCCCCCAGCTCCCAAATCTAAGTCTTGCACTTAAGCAAATGCCTCAGCTGGTAGCTACAGATGCAAATGACAGAGAAACCCTAACATATGGAGGTATGCTTCTCTTCGAAAGCTCACATTTCCTTCAGGAGGCCTTGGTTTAAGGACAGGAGACAACGAAGCAGAGTCCAAGTCTACATCAGCAGGCAGGATTTGGTCGGCAATGTGCAGTAACTGCTGCTGCAGCCACTGAGTCTCCCTGAGCCTGAGCCCCAGAGGGGAGTGGTGGGGTTCCGTCACTGAACCCGTCACTCTAGCACACGAAGATGGGAAACACCATGTGGGGAATAGTCCCTAAAAGAGCTGGTAGCCCTGGCTCCAGTGAACACCCACTGACTAACTTTCATCCCGAATGGTCTGCAGATGGTCAAGATGGAGGGTCTCAAACACATGCCAGCAACATAGGGGTTTTCAAAAGCTCCCAGACAACAGATGTGGTCCCTGTGAGGAGGCTGGTAGTTTCTCACTGTTAACCTTAACTCTGCCCTAAGGTCTTTCTGCCGAACTGACCTATGAAGATTGTGGATACTTCTGAAGATCCCGGGGGTGGGGGTGGGGTGGAAGAGGGGGTGGAGAGAGAGAAAATGGGCAGTTTTGGTTTCTAGATGATGCCTATTAAGCCTTTGCTATGTTCCAGATACTTCCACCCCAATTATACAACCCAATTATTCTCCACTAAGGGGCAGGGATGCTCTTATTACCACTCCACAGAAGAGGACACTGCAGGTTTAGAATCTGCATTCAGGTGGGCTGGCTTTCCAAAGCCCGTGACCCTGACTGCAAAGCTAAGCACATGTGGGAGGGGGAGAAACCGTTGTCTTCCTTGAGTGGTTAAAACAATGTGGCTCTGCATTTGTTGTGAAACCTGGCTTGCTTGCTCGGACTCCCTGACGTTTGCCATGCTTGTTCTGAGCTTCTCCAGAGAAAAGCTGTCTTCTGGCAGGAAAAGATAAAAACGGCTGATACAAATGAGTCACCGCACTCACTATAATTAACAGTGATGCAAGAGCCAGATGCAAACTCAGGGGCCTCAGAATCTGACTTGAGGGTGGCCCAAACTTCAATGCACAGAGAACTCTGTGGCTGCCGCCTGCTTGGGATACCTTTCACATGAAGACATGAAACCTGGAGAGCATGCAGGCTCCAAGATAATGGAGCCAGGAGAGGCAGCACCAGATTAATCTCCTATACAACTGAAAAGCCACCCACCAGAATCAGAGTTTATAGTTCGTAGATAATGTAGACCTTGGCTTTAACTGTCAGCTGTCCTGCAAGCTAAGCAGTCTGCAATCTTCTGAGCTGATGTATAGTGACTACAGTTTTCCATTCAGTGGTATTAGGAGTTCAGCTTCTACCCTCCTTCCAGTATGAATGGTTGAACATTTCAAAAAAGTAATGCAATGAGTGCTGGTTAAAATAAATCTCAGATAGAGAATGGACCATTATGACAAAGATAGTTAGAAATGATCACTCTGGATGGGAACTGCATGCTGAAAGTAAGTAAAGAAACAAATATGATAATCTCTCAGTATCTGTGTTGCAGACCATGGTGCCCAGAAAGAGAGTGAGGGGAAGGGAGAGAGAGTGAGTGAGAGACAGAAAGAGAGAGAAAGAGAGAGAGACAGAGACAGAGACAGAGACTGGAATCACTGCTGATGGGAAATGAACATTGGTGGAAGGATGGGTGTTGGATCATTGTATGACTGAAACCTGATCATGAACAGCTTTTTAACTGTGTATCTCATGGTGAATCAATTTAAAAAAAACATAAGTAATTAAATAAAAATAAATCCCAAAGCACAATCCCCACCATGCCATTCATAGCACCCTTTTTCAACCACAGCAAAAGTACAACTACTTTACTACAGGAGATGAAGGCTGGGCTCCATGATGGTTTAAGGGATGAATCAGGAACCCTCCTGAGGGTTTACAAAGTGATCGGGACCTAGAAAGCTTTAACTAGTGGTCCTGAACATCCGTGGTACATTCTTACCTGCATAACAGAGGTTCAACTGGCTGCCAGATCTGAACACAACACAGCTGACAGAATCTTGTTACTTTCCTTTTGAATTGACTTTAATTGAGAGCAAAGTGAAAAATGCAGGTTACATTTTAGTGCTATCATCAGTACGTTGTAAGATCAACACCAAAAGAGTGATGCCTCTAACTTTTATACATTTCCTAATTTTAGTTGTCAAGGAGAAAATCATTACCAGATATATATTTACATAACAGTTTCAAGCAACAGTAAATAATAAAAACTCCCCCTTAAAAAAAAAAGCACATACACACCCAACCACCTTTAAACAATGGATTTCCTCACACTAATCTTTTTTTTTTCCACATAGATTTGCAGACCCAAAGTTTTTTTTAAGTTATTTAATAATCTTAACAGTGGAGATCCTAAACCAGTCCCTACTATTTTTTTTTGAGTCACTTTAATTTTTACAACTTGAAGCCACATAAGTAAGTGGTTCTGTACACCAGGGACGCCCCAGATGGTAAAAATGAACTCCACTTTCTCTGTGTGAGGAGCTATGTACATCTCTGAAGATAAAGAGGATCACAACTCAACAAAAGTCCAACCTAAATACAAACACAACTTCTTAGATCTTCAAACACGATTTCTTAAGAGCGCTTTGCTCATGTAACCATGGCATGAAGTGGATGGCTAAGACCCATTTACACTTCAGTACAAAGGTACTAGTTAGCTCTGAGTTGTTGTTCTTGGCTGTCTGGCAGGCAGGAGTGTTTCAGTGGCCTGGTAGCCCTGCATCCTGCCTGCAGGTCAGCAGCCAGCCTAACCTCGGCAATGTCAGCTGGCTCACCCCACGGCCTTCCTCTCTGATTTATTTCTTGCTCTTGCTGTTAGTAAATGGAAACCATGACAAAGTTTACATTAGGAGACACATACACATGCCCTGGCCTATAAATATTCTATGATGGAAAATGGTACGATGACTCCATTCCTAGTGAAAATGAGGGTAAAAGGAGGAGGAGTGAGTGGGGGAACAGTCTCCACAATAGCTCTTCTTACAGTGGGAAATACAGACCAAGTGGTGATCTGTTATTGCTGTTGTTGTAATTTTGTAACTAACCAGATATTACCAGCCACTTTTCCAGGGCCTATGAATTGGCTAAGAGCGGGCCGAGTCCCATTCCTCCAGACAGAGTGGGTGGGATCCAGTAGCACAGGCCAGTGTGGTCTCTGAAGCTGGATAAAGAGAGGCACTGCTGTTCGCTTCTCGGGAAGGTGAAAGAGGAAGGATTTGAAGTTGCCTGTGAACGCTGCTCTCTCACATCCTCTGGCCACAGGGCTGACCCGCAGCCCCTCACAGCGCCAGCTGCAGTTTGGTCATGTTCCTCTGGTGCATGTTGTGGTGGCGAACCAACTCGTCGGACCGAGCAAACTTTTTCTGACAACTGGGCCACCGGCAGCTGAAGGGTTTTTCACCTGTTGACACAAATACCCAATCAGCGACACTACAGTGGGAAGTTTGGGCACAAGTTCTACTACTAAAGGCCCCGAGTTAACTCCTCCCCAGCACTCATGCCAACTTTCTTTTCTCCCTTTTCCCTCAGCTAATGATGCTGCAGCCCTCAGGGTGGGAATCATTAAGACTCTAAGTTAAAGAGACTAAGTTAGTGGGCATGTCAGGGTAACTCATATTTAACAAGGTTGGGGGAGCCTTTGAGTCTACTGCTAGGATTGTTGTAAACTGTGGGAATGTTTCCCCTTTGCTGTCTAAATTGGGAGTCACACTTAAATAGGTGGCAAGAACTTTGGAAAATCACCTTGAATGTTATTATTAATAAAGATGGTGATGATTAATTGATCACCATTTGATAGTAGAGCCAACTGTCGTTATGTCTTCTAGGTTTTATTAGAGTTGGGCATTTTAAAACAATCAAAGATAACAGTTTGCACGATATTTGCTTCTAAGTGTTACTTAAGTCATAACCTCTGTAACACATAAGGTGGTAGCTGAGCCATTGTTTTTATGTGAGCGTGTGTGTGTTCTATTTTGGTTCTGGTGCTAGGGATCAAACCCAGAGCCTCATACATACAAAGCATACACTCTATCACTGAGTCTCAAATCTGAGTTCATTAACAAACGTGTCCAAAGAGAGAAGCTTCTCAATCCAAAGATGTCTACAAAACTCCTACCAAGCATCCTTCTTCATAGACAAGACAGCTGGTATAATAAATGGCTACTCTGAGTTAAGTCTTGCATTGGACATTTTGTATATACACATATTCTCTTATGAGAGTCAGGAAAGAGAAGCATTACCATACCCCTGCTTCAGAGGAGGCTGGCTCAGAGGAGGCTGTTCACTAGTGAGGGGAGATCTGGTCAGACTCAATTCTAACACCAACTCCAGAGCTGTGCTACTGCTACCAGCTCTTACCACAGTGAACTCTTAACTGGCTTTCTTTAATGGAAACATGCTCTGAATCACCTGGATTTGAGATTTCAGACAAAATATTTCACTCCTGTGTGTCTCAGTCTATTTATAAAATGAGCACAGGATACTCGTTCTACTCTTTTGCTGTTATTGCTGTTTGCTTGTGTGTGGGGGGGTGGGATTGGACAACACTGGACTGTGCTCACATATTGGTAGGTGTACTCTGGACCATATGTGGTGCCAGGAATTAAACTGGGATGATCACACACCAACTATCTTAATCCCTGTACTATCTCTGCAGCCCCTACCTTACTTTTCTTGTAAGAATACTATAAGGCTCAAAAAAAAGTGGGGGGGTGTTGGAGTGATATAGCACAGTGGGTAGGGCGTTTGCCCTGCACGCAGCTGACCCGAAGTCGATTCCCAGCATCCCATATGGTCCCCCGAGCACCGCCAGGAGTAATTCCTGAGTGCAGAGCCAGGAGAAACCTCTCAGCATTGCTGGGTATGACCCAAAAAGCAAAAAAAAAAAAAAAAAAATATATATATATATATATTTTAAGGCTACAAAAATGAGACCACACTAAGCCTTGGCTCTCCTTACAAAGCTAAGGGGTGGGGGGAATTCACCACAATCGAGGTGGTGCTATTTCTATCATGAATCAACCAGCCTTGTGGAGAAGTCTGTTCCTTTGACAGTGGTGTGTATGTTTCGTCTGCTTTGCTCGGAGGAAGAACTATTATCTACAAGCTGTGACGAGTGGAACAGAAACAGGACAGCTCCTGGGCTTTCACTCTGAGCAGTCTAAGAACCTATGCTAGGAAATGTGGACTCTCAGAGAAGCATTGTCTCTGGAACTGTTGCTGCTGTTCTGTAAGGTCATAATCCCAGCCATGTGGGTAACAGAAATGTGACACAATAAACTGGGTAGAGTAGGAACCTGGTGCATCTCTTTCTTTACCATTCTCATGAAGAGTTCTCGCTATTCTCTTTGCCTGCCCAGTCCAGCCCCTTCTGAACTACGCTGTTGCTTAAACTTGCCCCACATTGTCCTTTCTGTCCTTTTGAGTCTCAGCCTATTTAGCTGGTTTATACGTCTTTCCCCCTCTCTCCCATAGCAAGCCACTTTATTCAACTGTATTATTTTAAAAATAATGAAAAATAAATGTGAAGAAAAGTTTACGCACTTGTTTTACCTGTATGAGTCCTGGTGTGGGTCTTCAGGTGGTCGGACCGGGAAAACTTTCGCTGACAAGTTTTACACTGGAATGGTTTCACACCTAAATGGACAGAGAAGGTCTAGCCACGGCCCTAACAATGTGGGGGGTATCATAGGCCTGGTTCTGAGGAACGAAGCATTTCCAGCCATGGTTGCAGTGTCTACCTCTCACTTAAGTTCCCCCCAAGTTCCCAGGCCCAGCAAAACCACCTGATTCTGCACAGCCAGTTCTGCACCCTTGAAGGCTTCCTGTTGTCAGGAATTATTATTCCTTAACCATAATCACCAGCTTCTCAATGAGCTCTCAGTGGGATCTAAGACCAAAACAGTGAATCGCATGCCACAAATTGGACTTGCTCTCACCACTATGTTCCAGCCAAGGATCAGCATCACCTCAGCATCAGTTCTCAACAAACTGACAGTGGGATCTCATGGTGTGCGGGGAAGAAAATATAAGATGTTTCTCCCCTCCTGCCCTATCTCTGTATTTTCTGGTTGTGGGCTGAGTGGACCAGAAAGTTTGATGGTGGGAGAATCCAGGACCACACCCAGAAGTACCAGATGAGGGAAGAGGAATTGAATTTAGGGTTTTGCACATGTAAATCATGTGCTCTCCCACTTGAACTTTCTCCCTGCCTGCCCTTTTCCTTTTTTAATCAAGAACAATAACTTCCAGAGATTAGAGGCAAGGGATCCAAATGGTCGAATCCACGTTCAATAACAAAATCCACTGTGTTCCAGGAACATACTTGCAGTAAGGGGAAGTGAACCTACAAACCTGTATGTCTCCTTTGGTGTCTTTTGAGCTGGTCTGAACGAGAAAACCTTCGTTCACAGTCCTTGAAGTCACACTGGTATGGTTTCTCACCTTGGGGAAGACAGATTCCATTTGAAAAATGGTCCGGAACTGGGCATCTCTTCTACTAGAACTGAAAGGATCCTCAAATGCCCAGGGCACTTGGGTGAAGTTTATTAGGGGGGATACTGACCATGACAGTGTGAGGACCAGCCCACCTATGTTCATGGACAGTGGGTGTAGAGCAAGATAGGTTGAGAGGGCTAGTCCCTAAATTCACAGCAGGAATTAGCATGAATGAAAACTTTAGTGCTAGTGTCTGAAATTAGGACTAAATTCAGTTTTATCACTTGAAACTCTGCTTTTTCCTTCTCATGAATTGGGGCCAACAACCTAACAACACCAAGGATTTATGAGATTAACCATTCATGTAAAGGAATCAGCACAGTGCCTAGCACACACACATCAAAACTTGGCAGAGAATATTACTGCGAACAATAAACCAAAAAAGATTTTAGACTGAATTGAAGGCAGGATTCTGGATGTACCTTGCAGAAAACCATGAAATAAGTGTTTCATGTTTTATGGCCTAAAGATTTGGTGTTCTTTGCTACTGACTTCTCATTGCAGCATAAACATCTCCACGATTATGAGACATTCAAGTTGAACCAGAAGCCAAAATGTTTAGAAAGTTCCTCGGCATCCTTCTTATCTAAGCAAAGTCAAGTCAGGGTTGATTAAACAATCGCCTGCCTCAGAAGGGAGAAGTCCCACCCCTGTTCTCCAGTGGAGGCTTTCAGCCAAACATTGGAACTGGACTTGAGGAGTGCACTGAGCAACCTCAGTTCTTCCCTCCTTCTTAGGAGAATTCGGAGTCACGACTGCTTGGGACACAGCGCTAGCCTTCCTGGAGGTTCTTCTGCTGCCAAGAAGTCCTTAGTTACTTCTCCAGACTCTATTTCCATCCTCCATTTCCCGAGTTAATCTGCTCTCCCATAGCTCACTTGATCACTTGACTCCCTGTGACTCATCGATTTGCTCGAGCGGGCATCAGTAACGTCTCCATTTGTCCCTGTCGTGTGCTAGTGTAGCCCAATGGTGTCTGTTTGTTCTAGGAACATGAAGAGCCTCAAACCTATCGTTCAAGGTCTCTCTCATAGCTCAATGTTCCCAAAATTTGCCTTACACTCTGCTACCACCAAATGCTCTTAGTGCTCATTTTTATATTCCTACCAGTTCAAAAAGGCCTACCATACAACCTCCAAATTACACTTCCTTTGTGATGCCTTCTTGGGAACTTTATGTTCAGATGGAAAGACTTTCCTCCTCTTGATACAAAATCTATTGTAGAATCTTAAATGTGGTGGATTGCATGCAGGCCTGCCTTTCTCTATTGTCTGGATAAACTTTCGTGCAGGAGCCTACACTGAACACTGTTTCCATCTAATCCAATGTCTTATTTCAGTTTAAATTCTTTTCTCAGCCATTCTGCTTCTGCTCTGTCTTTCCTTTTTCTACCCAACCTTACCAACCCTGTGATCGTTAAGACAAACCCTTCCTCTTTACCAAAAAACCTTTTTGGATGACGTTGGCTCAAATTCATATCCTCTGGAATTTTTTACCTTTATTATCATTTAGTTTAGTGCATGAATATAATACATAATCTGTGCACTCGTAGTTTTTTTTTATCTGTGCATATCTTAGCACAAAAACAGACCAGAAATTCTTGGAGAAGATAGATTGTGGTGGGGAGTTAAAAAGCATGAATTCACCTTCCATTTTAACCTATCCAGCTGATTTTTGTTTCATGTTTGAATATTCCACAAAATAATGTATCTAAGAGAATATCTAGCACTTAGCATATATCTAATGTAAAAATACTAAATAATCATCTCTATTAGTATTATAAACAAGATTACATTATTTCAAGAATGGAGTCACAGAATTGTTAAATCCTATCCCTTACTTGTTTTGCACTTAGAAGAACTTCTAGAAGGTTCCTGTAGATCTGACATCTTGACTATCTTGTCCACTGCCTTCCCTCCACATAAACACTGCGTCCTCACTACTATCCTAAGTATCCCTTTCCCATTAAAAAGATACACAACCATATTGCCTTTGTTATTCTTCCTTGTATTATTACTAGCATAAATTTTTCCCTGTAAATTTATTTTTCAAGTGAGTACACCTGGAGACATATTTAAAAATACAGTTTTATCACTAGTTCTCTCAAACAATGAGTCCTACTGTGAGTATACTCTGGTTTGTGCTAAAATCCATTTCTGAATGCAATAACCTAGAAAAATCTAATGGTCTCAAGAGGTCTGAATGTAATTTTCTTTCTTCTCCAGCTTCCCAAAAGTCAAATCAGCAGTAACAACAGAATAATCCTAATAATCCTAATAATGAAGCTGCCCTGTTGCAGAAAAGACACGAGCTCCCTTTCAGGAAGACCCAACCACAGGGTCTTCCCTTGTGTCCACAAGGCCAAAAGGCAAACATCTGTGAAATGACTTTTCACATTTCAGGTGCCCAATAACCAGATGAGACTGATTATCACTGTCAGCAACAGAACGTTTGACATGAAGGAAAACTGGTTTTAACAGTATTCTGGATATGCACTCAGGAATTATTCCTGGCAGTGCTTAGGGGACCATATGGGATGCTGGGGACTGAACTAGGTCAGTTGCATGCAAGGCAAACACCCTACTGCTGTACTTTTGCTTCTGCTCCCATTCCATTTTAAGATCCAATATAGTTTTAACAATTATATATAAGATAGGCATTTTCATCTCGATTTACCATGTAAAGCAAATGAAGTTCAGAAAAAGGTTAAGGAACCAGCTCAATGTCTCATCTCTTGGTGGTGGAATCCAGGTTCACATATGTCTGTCAATTCTGTGAAATTCTTTTCCTACCACTCTCCTCTGCTCCTCCTGAAGACAACCAGAATATGGAACATTCCTGGAGCTTTTTTCCATCACCTTGAGACCAGATTTCTCAAAGTAGGGCCTAAGTTCCATCCCATAAATCACCTGATTTAGTGGCATGACATTAGGGAACTACTGAGCCTTCCCTGACCAAAGGCTGCCAGGACCCAGGAGGGACAGACACGCTTACCAGTGTGCTTCCGGCTATGCATCTGTAAATGGGACAGCTTGAAATATCTCTTATTGCAGCCTGGGTAAGCACACATAAAGGGGCGTTTCTCACTGGTCTCAGAGGTTGACCGCACAAGAGTTGGGGTTACTCCAGGTACACGTCGAACATCCTGCAGGTAGATCAGAAGAGAAATGGAGGTTTGACACCACACTCGAGCAATTGTGTCAGTCCTGAGAGAAAGCAAGCGTTGGAGTCTACACCCTAAAAAGGAAGGCAGACGTTCACAATAGACATACTTAGCACAGAGCAGGATGTACAATGCAGGGCACTCACAACATTACTATAGTTCAACCAGAACCAGTACTAAAAATAAAGTTTCTTTGGAGTTGCTTATCCAGAGCAGCTGGGGAAAAAACTGAAAGATTCCATAGCATAGCTTTTCCACCAGAGGCAGGAAAGTAGGGAAATTCAAGCAGGAAGTAAAATTCTATTCTGTTCCTCCCATCTGGAGACATGGCCACCAGACTTTGAATCCAATCTGCAAGTGGCGGCAGGAAATCCTACTCAGGAAAATAGTTGAGCCCCTGAGATTGGGGATTCTCTGTGAAGGGATGCTAAAACCACCAGAAACCCAAGGCATAGCCAGTGCCACCTTTTCCCAGTGACACAAGAAAACAATGTTTCAGCCTTCTATGCACTTCACATGCCCATGAGACCCTTTATCTTGTGGAAATGAATATGTGTATGGTCAGTCCTTCACCAGAAGTAACAAGAGGAAAAGAGTGTGGCAAACAACCTTCCTGCTCGGGGATCAATGATACATAGATAAGAGCAGTGCAAGCACCCAAGGGCCACTGAATCCTTACCTGGAACCACTTCTGACTTAACTTTCCTCCTGCCCGCTGAACTATTCCCACATTCCACACCACATTCTAGTTTCCATTTCAAACTGCCTTCCATTGTGAATAACTCTTCTTTGAAGGAAAAACAACACTGCAGTATAGAACCTTGTTATTAGACCGCAGATGCTCAAGGCAAATGGTAGCATGGTCAGCCAGCTGTGTTTGATGTGTATATTCCAGGAGAAATAATAGAACACAATACTACTCTGATCTGGAGTTTATCCGAAGTTGTGACCATGAATCTAACAAAATGGGCTCGGTGAAAAGGAACTTGAAACTTTTTTCCATCCTAGATGTCAATATGATATCAAATTTAGTTATCAGTCACTAGAGGACACGAATAGTTATTTGTTGGAGGACACAATGAATCAATCTTTTTGTACTCCATTAAATTTTCCTATTTCAGTAACCCTGCTTTCAGTTCTCAACAGGCAAAGACTTGAGATGGGGGAGCACAGTACTCTATGGCATGGTATTTCTGGAAACATTAATCAGAACATCTCCGAATTACTTGTCCCACAAATCACATGGGGGCTTGACTCACAGATAACTTATTTCTAGGGAACTGGCTATTCCAGTGAGAGTATCACAACGGTTACTCATGTTGCAATCACTGAGCCAAATGCTTAAGTCACCAATGCAAACTCTTAGATCCCGAGGGCCTGAAAGAGGCTCTGCATTGAAGGTCTTCATGGAGTTTCTGGAATTTTCTGCAATGTTCACCTCTTAAGTTAACTTTCTTCATCTTCCCCAAAATGTCATAGTTCTCTGACTACCTAAAGAGCAGAGTAACACAGTGGCTAAAAACAGGGGTCTTAAAGACCAAGGAAAACAGGGGTCCTAGAGACCAAAGAGATTTGTATTCTAAGTCTCCCCATACTTTTCCCTGGTTATGTGGTTTTAAACAAATCACACACCTAACTTTGGGCTTCAGTTTCCTCAGTCATAAAATGGAAGTAATAACCTTAGCACAATACTTGGGATATCCATAGTGCCTGGATATCCACACCAGTTGTAATTACTATTGGTGTGATTAGCAATAATCATCAACAAACTTCAGTAGAGAGAGACGACAATCTACCTTGGAATACTTTATAAATGCTAATCAGGTCAAGGATCCAGGTTATTCCTTCATGCCCCATTAGCCCAAACTATAGAGCTGCACACCCACCCCTTCAAGCCCAAAAAGGCAGATGAAGCATAAAATGAGGAAACTATTGAATTTCTGATGTAACACTCTAGTCTGAGTTAGGATAGGGCTGCATTTACCCTCTCACCCTGGCCTACAGAGAGGAGAAAACCACTCTCACTCCCCCGGTAAACTTGAACCCAGGAGAACAGACTTGCCAGGTCTATATGGCCCTTGGCAAAGAACTCAAGTCTTTTGAGACATGAAGGAGAGAGCCAAGCCCACAGCCTGCCAAGGTGGCAGTACTCACCTGGATACCCCTGAAGACGCCATGGGTGTGTATTCTGTACTGGGCACCGCAGAGGATGGGTGTTGTGTGGTTATCATTCTCGTACCCCGTGCTGTGGCTACAAACACAAAGAATGGAGCAGGTTCAGGAATCTTCACCAGGGCTGTTGGGAAATACGACTTAGCCCAATGGGCGCTCACAGGTCCGTGGCTCATTTCTGCCTGTCCACATCAGAAATACTTCGGAAGCATGACTATGTGAAGGGGGAGAGAATCCTCATGCCACCATCATGTAGCCTTCCGTCTTGCTCAGGTTCTGGCAGGAACCCTGTCTGATTCAAGTTCTCTGTCACACAAGCTGAGAGAAGTCCCCAGCAAGTGGTTAACCATCTACACAGTGGGGCTGACAGCTTCAACAACGTTAGAAATGAGCAGATGCCTTAGGCTTCACATTAAGTGCACAGGATTTTTGTCAGCAGCTCATGGCTCAGTTTTTACTAGATAACATCAAGGAAGTCATGACACGGAAAGGTGACTTTGTCACACACTCTGAAGTGGGAGTCATATATCAGTGGGTCCTGCTCAACTTAGCCTACATATATCTCAGTTTTGTTGTTGTTGTTGTTTTTGCTTTTTGGGTTACACCCGGCAATGCACAGGGGATACTCCTAAATTTGCACTCATGAATTACTCCTGGCGGTGCTCAGGGAACCATATGGGATACTGGGAATCAAATCCGGGTTGGCTGCATGCAAGGTAAATACTCCACCTGCTGTGCCATTGCTCCAGCCCCTATGTACCAGTGTTTGAGGTCAACTTAACTCAAGGCAGCAAACCCTAGCCACAGATGAATACTGAAGATTTTTCATCTCCAGGATGACTGCCTTATTCTAGGCCACTAGAAGCATTCAGGTGAATCTCGGACTACTCGTGAGAGTGAGGGAATATAGTAGTGTTGAAAAGAAAAACCTAGAATGGGATGGATGATTGGGTCTTCAAAAACTCTCTTATTTCAGAGAAAAAAAACTGGTGATGTGTTCTGCAGCAATTCTACATACAAACGAGACGGAGAGGATTCTTAGTCAGTTGAGTAACACATTATAATCACGTCTTGACTTATCATGAAAGAACATGAAAGTACGAAAGAACAAAGGTCTATGGATAAAGCATTACTCTTTAAAATGGTGCAGCTGCTTTGCAAAATGTGTGGCAGGCATCCCAAAAATCAGCTATCTCATTACCTTAAAACTCAGAAACTCCACATCTAAGTGTATTCCTAAGAGAAATGAAAATATTTGTTAAACAAAAACTTGTATACTGGGGCTGGAGAGATAATGCTGTGGGTGCGGAGCGTCCCTTGCAAGCGATCCACCCAGGTTCGAGTCCCAGCATCCCATATGGTTCCTCAAGCCTCACCAGGAGTGATCCCGAAACACAGAGCCAGGAGAAAACCCTGGGCACTACTGGGCATGGTGCTCATACCAAAACAAAAACATACAAGAACATGTACATCTTGATCATCATCAGTGTTTTCATATAAACCCATGTCCATCAGATAATGAATGAATTTTTTAAACCAGCTATTACAGATAATTTGGTGATAAGAAAGAATAAGTACTGATACACAGTAATGTGGGCAAACCTTGGGTGCAAACACTGTGTGAAAGAAATCAATCACAAAAGACTGCTTAATGATTGATTCCATTTATACAAAATGTCCAGAATAGGAGAATCTATAGGAACAGGAAACAGACTGGTGTTGTCAGGGAAGTTGCAGGAGAAGGAAAGTTATTGCAGAGAATGTGCTAAAATAGTGGCAATGGTCATAAAACTTTCTGTGACCATACTCAAAATATGGACTGCATGGTGTGATGACAGATATAAAGTATATAAACATGTATATGGTGAAATATATAAAGCTGCTTTTAAAAGTATCTCTGGAGAATAGAACCCAGGCACCAGCATCTTTTAGCTTTTAGGTGCAATTAACTGACTGTTGAGCTGAGTTCTGCCCTCTGTTATTCTAGAGATTCCAGGGACCCTGAGTGCATGCAGGAAGGCAGGCAGCCTGGCTGATTAACCCCCTTCATCTGAAGGTGTGGGGAAAGCCTGGGGCTGGCTCAACTCTCTCTCACCCAAAGTAGAAAATTCCTGGAAGGAAAGAGAATCTGCCCAGATGACTAAAAGGTCCACACATCTTAGGACCACAGCAGCTGTGGTATTTCATGTTTCATTCTGGCTCTAAGTTTTTTTTACAAAGAATTGCCTGTCTCCTTTGCACGAGCAATCATAGCACTTCTGGGAAAGAGGAGGGTGTTCTGTTTCCCCTAACATTTTACATAACCTGTCTCTACATCCCTCAAGTAATTTTTGACCTATCTGGTGGTGGAGGGGAAATGTTCCAAAGAGCTGAACCAAGATCAAACACGCCAAAAAAAATGGGGAAAAGGTCAACTTCAGACTACATCTGCCTTTCTGAACTGCAGAATATGCCTTCTTTCATATTAAATATATAGGCAGTGAAGTGAGAGAAGATGACAGTGGTGATGTGGCAGCAGAAAAAAAAGGATGGGACAAGAATGGTGTTGCTAGAACATTCGTAGACTCCAAATCAGTGGAGAGATGTTGCATTTACTTGGATCAGTCTTCTGTGTGTGAAGCTTAAATGTGACTTACACATTTTCTAGGACTGTGAGATTTTTTAGGTGGGTAATATAAATCTGAATTATTTAAAAGATCTGACATTAAAGTGGAAGAATTAATTACTCTTATCTGGGTAGCTCATTTCTAGATGGTCTTGTGGGCTCCTTAAAGTGGGGGAGGGTGTGGGAAATAGTCTTTCTTAGAGCAAGTCAAGTCGCAGGAAATAAAATTTTGGTATCTCTCCAATAGAGCAACAGGATCCTCACAGCCAGGTGTAAGCCAACAAGTGAAAGTAGGTAACCAACAATAAAACTGTACCTGCCAGAGAGACTACTAGTTTTTGACCATGTCCCTGAAGAAGACAGTTGAGTCTGACTATTGGTTCTGTGTCTCCATAAGATAAACACACCAGTGTAATTCCATGCTGTAAAAAAAAACCTGCAGTCGAATGCTCTTCCCAATGTCTGACCAAAACACCAAGTTCAACTCATATCATGAACTACAGATGACTCTTCAGTAAATAAAACAATTTGATGGAACCACAGACCAACAGAGGTACAAGAAAGCTACTCTGACCCCATTCAAAGCTCCTCTAATGTAACCTCAATTACTGAACAAAATAAATAGTGACTAGTTTTTAAAGCAACCCATTTGATTTAGAAAAAGCTTTAATTGTCAAGAAATGCCTTTACAAACCAAAGTAAAATCTGCCTCATATCTACCTTCTAGAAAACCAAAGCCACCTCTTCACAGCCATCTCTGTGTCTATCTTCTGCTCTATGGTAACCTGTGATTTGAGGGACAGAGACCAACTAATTGCTCTACCCATTCTTTCAATGCAGAGGGAGTGGACAAGTGGAGCACCAGGTGAATATAGTTGTCATTTTAAATCTCACCCAGGAAATAGGTAAGCCCATCAAATAGGCAGCCAATCAAAATCAATACTGGGGTTGCTGAGAGTGGGATATGACCTTAGATAAAGGGGGCCTCCAGCTCCACTCATGGTCTCTTCAAATATGCCCAGCAGACTGCAGCACCAGCCAGGGCTTGTGTACCCAGACAGATGAGTACAGGGGGCTCCATGGGTCTGGACAAGGACAGAATACAGGCAGGACTCAGACATCCAGAAATTCAGATTCAGTTGTCAGGCAGGGAGAGATAGTAAGCACAGGAGTCTCACCCACACACATGTGGCCATAACTGAAGACAAGGAAAGTCAAAACAGGATGACAGGGACTGCAGGGATACAGTGAGAGACTAAGCAACAGGTAGAGAACACAGGGATCGAGACCACATGCATGTGGCCATGGCTGAGACTAAGGAAAGCTAGAACAAGACATCAGGAAACTTGGGAGACAGTCCAGGAAAGGCGAAGGAACACGTACACAAATAGAGAGTAACACGGGGATGGCCATAATACACTGGAGGGAGGACACCTTTGGGATGGGACTAGGATGCTGCTGTACACAGGATGGGGCAGCACCAGGGACAAGATGAATGATGTTATACATGCATAAAGGAGAGGCCTGGACATTGGGGGAGGGGCCTGGATCCATCTACTTTATAATAAACTCTAACTTTTAATCTTCCAAGTGTTGTATACAAATCTTTCATACAGTTCTCAAAAAGCCACCAGTGCAGGAAAATCCACGTTTGTGCTAACACTTTCAACTTAGTGACTAAAGTAAGATGCAAAGTGCAAGGTCAAGAAACATGTCCTAGGAGAGCACTCGAGGGTCTCTCAACAATTACAATCTGAACTGATATCTAATTTCTTTACTATCCAATCCTCCTTTTCATGGTCCCCTTCATTCTGTCATGTCCTTCTGGAAGGGTAGGATTAGGTTGGATTCCAAGTTCCCAGAAGAGTACTTCTGTTAGGGGAAAGGGATAGAAGACCATATACAAACAGGAAAGATTTAGACAAAAAAATAACACCAAAAAAAAAAACCAAAATAAAATAAAAAGATTGGAGGACACATGCTTTATAAAAAGTGGTGACATTCATTCCAAATTTCCACAGCCAGCATAGTTGTCAAATACAGTGCAATCCATTATGCCCACTGACCGCCAGGGTGCAATCCTTGAGCCGAGCTTCCATTCTCATATGGACAAAACACTATGATTAGGGCACCATACAGTACATCCCTTTATAACATTTAGGTCACAGTGATCTTCTTCGGTCAGAAATACACACATCAGTAAATAATATGAAAGCAGCACTGATTGATTGAGTGCCCGAGCATGCGCGCGTGCACACACACACACACACACACACACACACACACACACGTCAATAATATTAACCCAGCATTGTTAGATCTTTCCATTCTTTCAGAAAAGTTCAGAAACTCATACCTTTGTGTTTTTAAAATATCACCTGATAAATTCTGGTAAATAACTGCGAAGTTATAAAAGCCCCATCGGATGTAACGAAGTCGGCTTCTGGTCAAAGAGTCCCCAATTTGCAACTCCA